TCTCAGGATTTTGGGCATGCACGCACATACAGGTACGTGAGTTTCAAGCTGCCAGGTCCAGGACGCAAATCATGAATGGCCATATGGGAGTCCAGTGATGTAACCATTCCGCCATCTGCTTATCCTAAATTTGTGATTTTTTTTTTTTTTGAAGAGGTTTTTCACCATAGGACATGAGCGCTCGCCAGACAGTTAGAGAGAGACATAGAGACAGAAAGCGAGAAATCACCCCCCAAGGGGGATGGTCATGCCACAATCCCTTCTCCTCCATTCTCCTCTTGGGATCTTGGGCATGCACGCACACGCACCCGGTGCGAGTTTTAAGCCATTGGGTCCAGGACGCGAACTGCGGTCAACTACGTGGGATTCCAGCGACATAGCCATTACGCTAACTGCTGGTTCCCCTAAATTTGTGATTTTTTAAAAATGTTTTTATTTAGTTAGTTCCTGAGAGACTAAGTAGGAGTACCCTCGACAGTGTCTTCATGCTGTGCTCTTCCAAGTCCTGCAGCTAGCTAGCACCATGGGCATGCTGGTCTGTGGATGCACCTGGTGAGCTCAGGTAGACCTGGCGCATGGACCCTAAGCCTTTTCATATAGCTTTCAACAGCATGCAGCCACACTCCTACTGCCTGTGACACCACAGCTGGGCCAAATTGTTCTAAATCACCCAGCACATGGAACTTTGTTTACAGCAGCCCTGGGCATCTAATACAGAGAGATACCAGCATCTACATAGCAGTTCTCAAAGTGTGATCTGTTGATTCCCAGGTATCTCTGACATTGTTTCTGGTGGTCTACAAGTTTATGCCTATTTTCATAATAACATTAGATATTGTCATTTTTTCATTTTGCTGACATTTGAGCTAATGGTGCAAAAGGAACCAATGGTGAATAAAAATACACATTTTGGGGTCATTAGATGGTGTGATGATTAAGGCCCTGAACTCCCACACGGCCAGCCTCGGTTCAAGTCCTGGACCTGGTGGCTTGCTTTCTCACTCTCCCTCTGTCTCCCTATCTCTTGCTGGTCAAACTGAAAAACAATAATAATAAATAAAATTAAATAAATAATTCTTTAAAAATTATTTTTTTTATACATTCAACCACTATTCATCATTTGACTTGCAAAGAGAATTTACCCGACATGAAATACACCTCAGACCTGTCCAGTTGAGAATACTATGCATGTTATCATCATCAGGGAATAAACCATTATTATGTCTCACAAATGTCTCTCTATTTTCCCCCTAATTTCCTTCCCTGTACTCTTCCCCTCTCCCACCCTTCTTCCACATTGTCTCCAGTGTCTATAATTATTTTCAATGCTTTTATGTCCTCCAGTCTTTAAGTCTTTATCATAGAGTGCAGACGGTCAGTATATATTAAGTGAAGAAATACAATATCTTTCTTTTATAGCCCGGCTTGCTTCACTCAGCAATAAATCTTCCATATTTGACCAGTTCCTATCAAATTCCAGGGTCTTGTTCTTTATGGTTGAATAGTATTCCATATGTGCCACATTTTTTCAATCCATTCATCTGTCTGTGAACATTTGGGTTGGTTCCATGTCTCAGCAATTGTGAATAATGCTGCAATGAACATTGCTGCGCAAGTGCTTTTTCGAAGAGCATTCTCCTGTCCTTTGGGTAGATACCCAGAGTGGGATTGCTGGGTCACATGGTAGTTCTATTTGTAGGTCTTTGAGGAACCTCCATATTGTTTTCTACAGTGGCTGGACCAATTTACATTCCCACCAACAGTGTAGGAGAGTTCTCCTTTCATCACAACCCTGCCAACATTTACCACTTTTGTATTTTTAACCTTCACAGTTCTGACAGGGATTAGGTGGTATCTCATTGTGATTTTAATCTGCATCTCCCTTATGATGAGGGATGTTGAGCATTTCCTCATATGCTTTTTTTAAAAAATTACAATAGTACTTTTTTTTAATAGTCACAAGATTTGACACTTCAAAAACAAAAAGATACCACCAATAAATAACAAAAGTGGAATGCTTATCAAAGTTACAACAGACATAATGTTGAGCTGAGAATCACTTCAACAGAGTAAGGCTCTAAGGATCAGAAAACGGATACTGTGTGGTTAAAAGGCGGCCCTGGTTCTGTGTGGTCAGGGCTATAGTCATAAAACCAGTGTTAGCACAATTGTGCTTTAGACTTAAATTTTCTATAGTTTCAATAGTCTACGTAAAATGTTGAGGAATGTCCTGGAAAAAAAAGTTAAGCCTTGAAAACTTCCCTTGGAATTTCCAATAGCCAATATACATATATTACATCCCTCCAAACAACAAAATAAAATTTAATAGGTGCTGGTATTCATGTCTGATATATCAGGTTTTGCTTTGATCGACAAGTCATAATGCTCCTAGATTCTGGGGTATATAGGTGGCAGAATATTTTTAATTTTTTTAAGTAGAATTTAGGGAAAATGAGGATCAAATGGGAATGTATTTCTTGACTATACTGTCAATCTTCAATGAACTCTTCACAGGGAATAGTTAAGCCATTGAAACTAGTTTTTTTAAATATCCAAATGCTTCACACTGAAAACACTTTAAAGTAACTAAAAACTAAATGTATAATTTATAGAGATAACACACAGAAATGAACTGACAATTTAGAAAAATGGTAATCTCCTATATGTCTATATCCAACCCCTTTGTGGTCTACTTCATATACTCTACCCACCC